TGAGGATTTAGCTGAGCGGCAAAGCGCCTGCCTAGCAAGCACAAGTTCGTGAGTTCGATTCCTGGTACCGGAGAAAAAAAAAAAAAAAAAAAAAAAAAAAAGGTGTTAGAACCACCACACACAAAAATTAAATAAAAATGAATCACAGTTCTGTATGTAAGCAGAAGGGGATAAGTGGGAGGGAGGAGGAAGAGAGAGGAGGCAAGGAGTTGAAATTAAGATATGTTAACTGTGTGTCAACTTCCCAAAATAAACCCTATCCACATGTAATATTAACATTCACTAATATTAAAATGTGAAAACCCCAGGAGGCTCAGGCAGAAGGATCGCTAAGTTCGAGGCCAGCCTGTGCTGTATGGGTTCCAGACCAGACTGAACTGCATAGTGAGACCCTGTCTCCCAAAAAAAAAAAAAAAAAAAAAAAAACCACAAGGTATACATTGACAGAAAATATTGCTAGATTAACATATCCAATGCAGAACTTGTATCTGAAATATAGATACACACATATTAAAGCTCTTATGCCAATAATAAGACAAATAAACCAATATTAAAGTGAACAGAAGGCTTAACTACTACTGTCTCGAACATCTAACAAACATCTAAGCCAGGTCTTTTGTATGGGAAGGCTAAGCTGCATTATGTTCAAGATTATAGGCACACCAGACACAAGGTAGTAAGTATCTGCCGCAGAAACCAGAGTTTAATTTAATGTATACATTAAATACATGTGTAAATATAAATCTAAGCAAATATAAGCAATTCACAATTATCAAGGAACAGAAAAACTGATTTCTGGAGTTTTGTTGTTTTGTTTGGTTGCAGTACTAGGTGCTGAACCCCGGGCCTTTGCACTGAATTACAGCCCCAGCCAATTTTTAATTTTATTTTGAAACAGTTAGGTGTTCCTGTCTCAGCTTCCAAGATGCTGAGATTACAGGCACATGTCACCATTCCTAGCTGATATCTGTTTTTAAAAAAGAGTTAAGGGAAAACAGGGATCCAACTAAACAATGAGATTTAGAATTAATAATTTAGTAAAACTAGCTAGCACTAAAGCTGAACCCTTAACAGAAAGAAAAGTTGATTCAGAACTAGAAATGGAAAGGCCTACACTCAATCAACTATAAAGAACCATGTGACACTCTAATTATTGAGCTTCTTCAAGACAAATAAAACACAGCAAGCCCTAAAGTTTTACTGAAAAATGGATAATTTACTTTGGAAAATCCCCTCAGCTTTATTTATCTGGGAATGTCTTGATTTATCCTGGTTTTTGTTTTTGTACTTTTTTTATTTTTAATTTTTATTTGGGAGCCATTACTGAGGATTGAATCCACTGAGGATTGACTCTTCATAACACAGCCCCCACTCCCTTTTTAAATTTTAAGATAAGATGTTAAGTTGCATAGGCTAGATGCAAACTCATGATCCTCTTGTCTCAGCCTCTCAGTATGCCAGGACTACAGGCATGTGCCACCATGCTCAGTTCTCTCTGTTTTGTTTTGGAGGCAGACATTTGCTATGCATTCGGGCTGGCCTTAAACTCACAGCAATCGTCCTGCCTCAGCCTCCAAAGTGCTAGAATTACATGTGGGCACCACCATGCTTGGCTCTCTCTCATTCTTTAAGGTCTGGAGGATATATGAGTACTATAAGTTTACTGTTCCTTTGTTTAGCACTCTGAATATATTAGTTCACTGCTATCTTTGTCTCTTTCCTTGTCACTAAGACACAATACCCAACACCCAAAACTGAAAGAAGGAAATGTTACTTTGGCTCATGTATTAGCCCAAGGTTGGCCAGCTCCAAAGAAGAAACAGGGCCTGGAGAAAGAAATAGCTCACCTCACAGTAGTCAGGAAGCAGAGAACAAAGTGAAGAACCAGGCAGAGAGATAGAGATCTTTATATTCCTGTCTTTTTCAAGTTTGAGGAGCTTTCAGCCATTCTGTTTTCGAATACCAACTCTGTCCCCTTCTTTCACACTTCTCCTTGTGGTACAATGAGCATGCTGGTCCACTAATGGTATCCCACAGGCCCACTGGGCTCTACTCATCTTTCCGGATCTTGTTTCTTCTTGCTCCTTGGTCTCTCATAATTTCTCTTGACCTATCTTCAGGTTCACTGATCCATTTTTTCACTTGCTCAACACTGCCTTTAAATTCATCTAATGTTTTTCTCATTTCAATTATTGTACTTTTCAACTCAGAATTTCTTTTTTATTTCTTTTTAGATTATCCTGTCTTTTTGTTGATACAGCATTTCCATTTTGTTCATCCATTATTTTCTTGGCTTTCTCTACATCTTCTTATAATTCTTTGAGAATCTTTAAAACAGCTATTTGAACATGTTTATTAGATTTGTCATCAGGTATTTTTCAGAAACAGCTTATGTAAATTTACTTTTTTCCTCCTTTAAATAAAGCATTTAAAGGACTTTCCTTGTTTATCCACTCATACATACTGTAGTTTAGTGCTTTTTTCCCTAAAATGATTTTTCTTTTATTTATAATACTTTGATGAGTTTTCTCATCTCATTTTCAAATTTTTCCAATTTCATATTATTCTTTCATGTTTGATACTGTTTCTCATTAACTCTGGCACAATTTAAACACAGATTTGAGTTCTCCTGGGGTGCTTTGCATATAAGGATTCTGTTTCTTATTCTTTTTTTTCTTTTTTAATGAACAACCTCTCCGCCTCAAACACCTTTACTGGGAATTGAGCACAGGGCCTCTACATAAAGCTACATCCCCAGCCAGGTCGTTTTTATTTTGAAATAGGGTCTTACTAAGTCACTAAGTTGCTCAGGCCAAGACTGAACATACAGTCTTCCTACCTCAGCCTTCCAGAGTGCTGAGATTACAGGCATGCACTATGACAACCCGCTCTTTGTGATAACTTTAAATGGGATGTACCTTGATGTTTTCCTGATCTTTATGTCTATGTAATGTTAATTTTCCTGAACTTTCATAGATTAAAAATATGAAAGCTTGGTTTTTGAGATCTCCTCACTAGTCCCCACCTTCTGTGAACAACCTCTTTCCCTCCCCTCTTGTTCTTTGCTACCCTACTGAATTTTGTTCCTATTCAGTGTGGTATTGTGTCCCATATGAGAACTCTGATATCCCCGTTTTGAGGGTTCACTGGAGCTTGACTGCCAAATTTGAAGTTGAAATATAGCTATTATATTTTTATATTCATAACACATGTACCTTTGGAACACAATTTTAAACTATCATGATGTAAATCATTTCATTCTTTTTGAAATGAGGCCAAAAAAAAGTCCATGATAACAAAAAGCTTTTTAATTAAATTCTTTAAGGTTTTTAAAGTTCAGAAAATTTCCAAATGGTTACAGTCTGAAAAGTCAACTACCTGAGACTTACCTCTGGTCTTTCTGAGAAAGAAAACACCAATAAACTACATACGTATAATCAAATACAAGAATGTAAGTATACAGTCTTCAAAAATCTAAAAATGATCTGAGAAGAAATTCCATGTGTCTGAATTACAGACTTTGTGCTATGATTTGTACCCAACTTGGAAGGCTGAGGCAGGAGGACTGTTCCAAGTTTGAGACCAGCCTGGGCTACAAAGTGAGCGTAAGGCCAGCCTGAACTGCACAGGAAGATGCTGTCTCAAAAAGCCAAAAAGAAGAAAAGAAAAAGAAAAAGAAACTTGGGATTAAATAGAATAAGGTGAGAAAATATTAACAATTTCAGACAAATTTAGTTTTTAAAACATCAGAAAACAGGTAGTCTAATAAAAACCTTGCTACTTTTTGCAACAAAAAAAAAAAAACAGTATCAACAGGATGAGACCATTACAAAATGTATGAGACACTACTTTCAGAGTAGATCAGTTCTTGCCAGAGGAGTTTATTATAAAGCATCTAGCTCCTTGGGCCCTTTGTTCTCTTCTGCTACCTATCTGACCTGTTGCTTTCCTTAAAAATTACATTGTAACACAAAGTCCTCACTGACATGGCTGCCTAATTGTGAACCTCTCAGTCTTTAGAACCATGAGCCAAAATGAATCTCTTTTCTCTATAAATTACTCAGTCTCAGGTATTATTATTACAGTGACAGAAAACAAACTAAAATGTTCTGTCCTGATATGGACATTTACTAATAAAATTTCCATAAGCAATAGAATGGCTCTACTGATAATTTCGAGTGAGACTACTCTGTTCTGTTATACATCCAGCAACTGTGATATAATTAGCACCCTTGGTCTCCCAGAAAGTAAAATACTAGCAGTACTCCAGGCAGTGGATTAATTAAAAATTTCCACATATTTTCAAACACTCTGGAATAGAATAGAAATACAACCCTGGGTTAAATTTTTACATTTTTTTTCTGTTGTTGTTGTTGAGAGATAAGGCCTTGTGTGTAGTCTAGGCTGGCCTTAAACTCACTACCCTAGGCTAACCTTGAACTCACAGCAATTCTCCTGTCTCAGCCTCCCGAGTGCTGGGATTACAGGGATGCGCCACCATGCCCCGCCAACCCTGGGTTGAGAACCACTAAAGAACTAAGCTCACAGCAAGAAAGCAGAAAATACATTCCATAAATTCTAAATGCTACCATGAATGAGAAATGTAATTATTTTCTCAAAGATCAAAATAAATGTCTACGTTTCTTTCCTTTTGATACTTAGTCCAAAATACAGATTAAGCTACATACTTTAATATACAAAGCCAAAATGGAATTTTCTTACATTTAAATAATGAAGCCAACAAGAAGTTTTCTTAAGTTAAAATTTAAAGAAAGAAAAGCATATGACAATCTTACCGATTTGTTCCATCCAGGTTTGATTTGTGGATGAAATTAAGTTTGGCATCTGCCCAATAAAGCTTTCGTTCATCATAGTCCAAAGTCAGTCCATTTGGCCAGTAAATTTCAGTATTTATTATAACAAAACGACTTGAGCCATCCATTCCAGCACGTTCTATCTTTGGCACTTCTCCCCAGTCTGTCCAGTACATGAACCTAAAAAACCATAAAAAAAGCCATGACATAGCAGATAATAATAAAATATTTTATAATTATCATTAGCAGTTAAAGAAAATTCTTTCAGAACAATAAAATCTGAAGCTCCTAAAATTTTTGAAAAAAATGTAAAATAATCTATTCGCAACTACCAGGGTAGTACTTGATTCAGCTAAGCATCATCAAGGATGCAAAAACTGGGCTGGGGATATAGCTCAGTGGCACAAGAGCCTGCCTGGCAAGCACAAAGTGCTGGGTTCGATCCCCAGTACCAAAAAGAAAAAAATCTTAATGATGCAAAAACTGTGACATGGTAACTTAGTGGGAAAAGGAATAGTTACACTGTGCAAGGTACTATGCCACAGGTAAGTACTTATTAACAACAAAGGAAAAAAATGGTAACTTGAAAGAAAATAAACCTAGTATACTACTATAAACAAGTTATCTACATTAACATCATCAACATGAAACTAAAGTGACATCATAAATCTCTTAAGGCAATGTACTAAAAAGGACATAGCATATTGTGTATGTTTATATATATGTATATATATACATATATATACACACACACATATACATGCATATATCTTATACTATTCCTGCCACAAAATGTATAACCTGAATAAAATTGAGGAAACAATCAAATTGAGGTATATTCTACACAACAGTTCACTTTGACAATATTAATGTCATAAAAATCAAAGAACGACTGGGGAATCAATACAGAAGGGAATAAAGAAACATGGTAACTACAAGAAGTACATGACTCTTCACTTACAAAGTGAAGGAAAATTCCATAAAAATATTGGAAAAAGAGGCAAAATTGAGACGTTTATCAGATCATGCAGTTGTACTGAATTAATGTTAGATTTCCTAAATGTGGCAAATATACTGTGGTTAGGACATATTAGCAGTTCACTACAGTATTATTGCTTTTACCTAAGAGTTTATTTTTTTAATGAAAACTCATCAATAATGGATTTTGGGGGGCGGGGGAACACAAGGTCTTGCTGTGTAGTTCAGGTTGGCTTTGAACTCGCTATGCAGCCCAGGGTAGCCTCAAACCCATAGCAATTCTCATGCCTCAGCCTCCTAAGTGCTGGGATAACAGTTATGAACCATCATACCTGGCATTCCAGTAACAAATTTTGCCCAAAATATGTAATGAACTTACAAATCAGTATGAAGACAACACTTTTTAAATGGACAAAAGATATGAACAAACATTCCATCAGACATAAAAGTGGCCAAGTAGGACTTGAAAACATGATCAACATCATTAGTTACTAGGCAAATGCAAACTAAATCCAAAATAAAATACCACTTCACACCAACAAGAATGATCACAGTATTTTTTAACAGACCATTATAATGTTGACAAGAATATGAAGAATTGGGAAGTAAGTGGCATAGCTACTCTGAAACAAACAGTTTGACTTTTTCTTAAAATATTTAACAGATTGATAGAAAAATGAATAAAACAGCAATTTCATTCTACCCAAGAGACATAAAATCATATCCAGACACAGATTGTTTGTGAAAGTTCTTATCAGCATAACAACCTAAACGGTCATTAACTGAGAGATTTTAAAAAGGGATAAACAAACTTCAGTATATCTACCAATCAGAATACTATTTAACAATGAAAAGAAACAATGCACTGGTACATGGGTGAAAGGAGATAGACATCAAAGAAATATACTAAAGTAAAAGCCGGACACAATATCATATGTTGAATGATTTCATTTACATGAACAGTGCAGAAAAGGCAAATATACAGAGATACAAATAAACTAATGGTTGCCTGTGTCATAAAGCATAGCAACAGGCACTAGGTTTCTTGGGGGGTGGGTATGGCTTCTATCTAAATGTCCTCCCAAAGCTTCAGGTGGTCATAATGTGGGGCTTTGTGGAGCTGGCTGGATCTGGAGTGTGGGATCCTGTGATCAAGGGTGGGTGATTACTAAATTAGTCCACTGATTGGCATAGGTCTGGGCAGGATTTAGGCTACCCCACCCTGGGTGTGAGTGCTACCTGCCCTCAGGGTAAGTATCCTGCATACAATATAAAAAGGAAACAGAATCTACATTGTTAATTCCCTACCACTTTGTTTGTAACTCCGTATTATCTGTACTGTTTTTTTGCTATGTTGTAAAATGTTGTCTGTCTCTTAATGTTTTCCTCCTTTTATTTTTAAAATTAAAAAAAAAATAAAAAAAAGAAACAATCTATTTCATCAGTGCAGGCTGGTTCCTTGCTGCCTTCCCCGCTTTGCCATGGACTGTCTCCTGAGCGATGCCCCCCTGCTACATACGTCCCTGCCTTCAAGCCAGCTGATTATACACTGAAACTTTCACAAACTGTGAGCAACAATAAACCTTTCCTCTAATTTGGGGGTGTCAAGTATTTTTGTCTCAGCAAAAGTAACTAAGACAGGAGTAAAAGTAACTAAGACAGGAGGGGACAGAAATGTTCTAAAGTTGATTATGGCGATGACTATACAACTCTGAAAATACTGAATTGTTAAAGTAGTGGGGGAGGGCATTTATACAGTACTTTTTCCTCTTGAAGAATAAACCCAACCACACCACCAGCAGATAATGCAATCACGTAAAGTAACAGATCCATTCCTACAGAGCTGGAGTCAGGTTAACCTTTATAGACTAAATTCTATTCACAAAAATCTCTAAATATCTGAAATTATTTTGCTGAATTCTCTGAAAATTCTAACCCACTTTTTGTGAAGTAAGTAAACATGGATACCAAAAGAATGTTACAACTAAAAAGAATAAATGCTAGTAAGGATGTGGGGGGGGTGCTCTTCTACATATGGGTGGAAATGTAAACTAGTACAGCTATTATGGAAAGCAGGATGGAGTCTTTTGAGCTAACTATAACTACTCCTTGATATATTCTCAAAAGAACTGAAAGCACAGAATAGATACATCTGCATACTGTTCTTTACTGCAGAGCAATTCACAATAACTAAGGTATGGAAACAGCCTACGTGCCCATTAAGAGATGAATGGGTAAAGAAGACATAATTAATACACAATGGACTACTATGCAGCCCATAAAGAAGAATGAAATCATCTGCAGGAAGATGGTTTGAACTGGAGACCATTATGTTAAGTGAAATAAGCCAAACTCAGAAAATCAAAGTGTCACAGTTCCTCTCACATGAGGAACCTACGGGAGAGGGAAGTGGAGACAAGGGAGACTATTAGAGAAGAGGAAGAGAATGGAGAAGGAAGAAAAGGGGAAGGGCATAGTGGGGAGAAGGAATCATAAAAGTATGTTACACGCATGTATGAATATCAGAAAATGAAGCCCACTAATCTATGTAATATGCACTGGTTTAAAAAGAAAAAATTTAAAAACTGTAATGTTATGAAAATGAGAGGACAGAGGAACACAGTGACAATGCTATTTCAACAATTATCTCTGCAAAAATAGCGACAGATGAAATCAGTGTGGTGGCAGAAGCAAGAAGACAAAATTGAAAGTTGTCTGGGAAGGAAAAACTGACAGGAGCTGGGGATAAGAAATGAGGGAAAAGCAGTACTAAGGATGATTCCTAGACCTCTGGACAGAAAACAATGCCTTAAAAGCAAGTATGTATCAATCTGTATCAAAATAAATGTACAATTATTACAATACAGTGTTCATCTGCATACCATCTAGTAGTATCGACAACATATTTAGGGAAACACTGTAACAAAGATGCTATCCTTTCATTGTAACTGTTCAGCTACATATTATACAACTTAGTTACAAATCCTTAGCTAGAAATGCTATGTCTGTTGACAGACAGTATACCACAGAGACTTACAGCACATATTCTGGAGTTAGGCTGCTCAGCCCTGCCATTTCCTAGGTCGGTGACCTTGAGCAAGGACAGAGAGGTAACCCCTTTCTGTCCCTCAGGCTCCTCATCTATACCATGAGGATTAAAAATATGCATACTCACAGTGTTGGGGGAATTAAAACACTTAGAAGACCTATGTATTCTTTAGCTATTGTTGCTGCTGATGTTATAAATTCCCAGTCTGTTGCTTCCAACTTTTAGAATATAGGGCAGCAAAATCATTAAAATAATTTTCCCCCAGGGCTGGAGATGGAACCCAGGACCTCTCACGTACTAGGCAGGCACTTTGCCACTGAACCCTCAGTAACATAATATTTAACTCTGCACTGTTTGGCTCCCTCCCTTATATTCAGCTTCCATTTATACATCTCATTACTGACATTCCAATCAGTGCTTCACAAATTCCAGGCTCCCCACTACCACAAGGCTGTCTCTTTAACATATTCTCTTCTTTTTAGAGTTCAGTTTAAATAGTACAGTACTTCCTTTAAAAGCCTTCTTTTAAATTCCAAATTAGGTCACATGCACCCTATAAATTTTCAGAGTACCTTTTATTCACAAACTTTGTAACTATATTTATTTGATGTTTACCACTGATTACTTCTAATTTATACAGTTATGTTTACATACATTTCTGGATTAAGAAAGGTTTTAAAAAGTAAACGGACATATTTTCCATTTGCTGACACGAAGTATTTTCTCCGAGGCTTATAAATCCCCACATACTTATCCTTAATGATGCTAATGATTGTATGGCAGATATTTTATCTGAAAGACCGAGCAGAAAAGAACACATTTCAGGAGTAGTTGGCAGAGAAATTGACTACAAATTCCCAATGAATTTGGCATAGGATTTCATTATGTAGTTGGCATACTGATTTATATAATCTGAGTATTAACTGCTCAATGATCATGCTATCAGTAAATATTTCTGTTATATCCTAGCTGAGCTGTGGTTCTTATATTTCAGAGAGGCAATGAGTCCAATCAGATACAAACAGCTAAGCTGAGCCTTCAAGTAAGGGCAACTTAGTTTTATACCAAATCAAGAAGAGAAAACATCCCAGGAAGAAGGTCCACATTGAGGCACAAATAGTGTATAAAAGTAACTGCAATACATGGCTTCCAT